CATCTGTGTGAGTAGAAAATATATTCGATTGATTCTTCAGACTATTAAGAATCATTGTAGCTATATTTTCGTTGTTAACTGGTAAAGGAGTTCGTGCAAAGTGACGTTTACGAAGGCGTCGCATATCATCTTCCTTATCTCTTAAATTTCGTTTATAGTTGTCTAATTCCTGCAAAGAAAATACATTTACTACTAACGATATTAAATAAGAAGTAGATTCCAAACGAAACTATACTATTTCAATAATATTATCAATAACATTAGTAACATTAGTTCAAGCTTAATAACGTGACTGACTCAAGCAATTTTATTTTTATAGAAATATTTTTTATCTCTTTTATTTTTGCCACATGGTCACTCTATCGTAGGAAAACATTAGCCAGCCAGTGTTAAGCTGCGTATAAATTAAGCGCGGCAGCCGCGCGAGCCAATGTTCGACCAGAGTTGACGTTCATTTGCCGCGCGAGCCGTTGGACGTGACAGCCGCGCGCGGCAGGCGATCCATCACGAACAGACCGCGGCGGATAGTCAGAGTTCACTCTTGTAAACCTGCGAGTATGGACGCGCGTGGTCGGGCGGCTGCCGCTTTCATTGTAATTTCTGGAAGACATAAGATATGAAGCCGTTGAAGACACTATAAAAAATGTATTATTATAAAAATTATATGATTATTTATTATATTTATTTTTTATTTATAAAAAATTTATTTTTATTATATATTTTAAAATTTTATTTTATTTTTTATTGTGGTATTGGGAGGATTTGGTGTTCCACAAAAATTCTTTAGCGCTATACAATTCTATTAGTAAACGGCACTTTTCGTTGTCCATTTTTACGTATTCGCCGCGCGAGCCAAATCACCAAAACTATAACCGTCCAACTGCGCGCGAGCGAACGACTGAAGCTCCTTTGATGCGGTCTCAAAAACCGACAGCGAGCGGATCGCCCCGCGGCACGTTCGAGCGCGGCAATGTTCGCGTCGCCGCGCGCGCCAATGTTCGATGGTTTGCCGCGCTTAATTTATACGCAGCTTTACAAACGCTACGGCTGAATATCTTTCAGGCCGCTAATTAAACGGCGCTGCTTAGTTAAATGGCTAGGCTGTTGATTGAACGGCTTATAGCTAGTTGGCTGCATTAAGATTACCTCTATCATCAATTTGTTACTGAGTTATTTTAATACATTTTCTTAAGGCATGACATCAATAATTATCTTTCATTACAATTCACACTGTAGTCTAACTTTAGAGGGTAATAACTAAAGTTCTTTTTAACGTTATATACGAGTATGTTTATGATAATTTAAAGTCTAGGTTCTTTTGTCTTTAAAAATACTATCTTATACAAAAAACCTTCTTTTAACAATGTTCGGTAAAAGGGGTTGGCATAACGCTGTTGATAACTTTTTGTTGTTGAAGATTATTGTTGATGAAGTTTTTATTTGGATAGGAATAATATCATTTTTGAAAACACATTCGCATGCCTGAGCTTCCTGTTCAGTAGCATCTAGAGTTTTCTAAAAAATGTATAAACATACCTTGGCGAGTGCCGTAATTTCTTCACGCAACACATACACACTTCTATCGAGGTAATGACGGCAGAACTGCTGATACTCCACGGCCAGTTGCGCCAGACGAAATATCTTGACAACGCCATCATCCAGGATCCTAACATCGAATTCCGATTCCAGAACACAATCTAATATCTGAAAGAACCTTCTTTTTATCATGCGCAGTTGAGCACTAACTCAATTGTATACTTAAAATACGATTTTCTAAATACTTTTTACGAATAAAAATACACAGAATGAAACTGTAAATGCGGTATTAATTATAAAGGTGTAAATAAATGTATGTATGTAAATAATAGGTAGGTGATCCTCCTGTATCTGACACACGCCGTCGACCTTTTGAGTCTAAGGCCAGTCTTACGATGCTTTCCTTAACCGTTCAAGCAAATGTTAAAGGCGCTAATAGAAAGTCCTTTGGTGCACAGCCAAGTATCCAAGCTACGATTTCAGAGAGTTAGATTCCAAGGGATTTAAGGGTTTAAACATCCAATATACTTACATCATTGATATGTTGCTCAATTAATATAAACTTTTTCTCTCGTATCAGACTATCTACATCAAGAAGACCTAAAAACACAAAACATGGGTCATAATACTACTTTATAATATAATTTTCTTTATACCAAAGTATTCATACAAACAGCCAGGAGTGTCACCCGTACTCTAAATCAAATCAAAATCATTTATTAATTAAGGTAAGGGAACGTACCCATACTACGTGACTCTGGGGGAGCGGAGTCTTTAAAATACTACGGGGTGGCTCAGGTTTTTGTCACGTAGTCGATTTTACTGAGAGAATTCTCGTTTTTTTTTACCTACGTTCGAATATAGCGCGCAGTGTTTAGCTTTGTAAACTTACAGTTTTTGGCGCTGACGCACATAATATGAAGAAGAGTAAGATAAAGACGAGTATGAGCCAATTTTTTTTTTCAATTGTTGCCTGTGAAATGATTAAAAATCATAATTATGAATTACTACGTGAAAACTAAAGGGGGAGAGGGGGGTCTTGGCATATATTACGAGTGGTCACCGAGGGGAGAGGGGGTCTTGGCATATACTACGAGTGGTCACCGAGGGGAGGGAGGGGTCGAAAAAAATAGTTCACGACGTAGTCTGTATATATAATCGTGTAAATTAATAAGCGTGAACACTCTGGATATTAGGGAGGGCAATAGAGACTTCGGAAAACATGTTATATATATATAGATATATATAAAGATACGTATATCTTTTGATATATTTTTATATGCTTGTTAAATACTAAAATAATTAACTTGGTTTCACAGTAAATTATTGATTGAATGGCTCGACTGAAAAAAATTTTCATTTATTTGGAAAATGATTTGGGGCCTGGGGGCCTCCACTCCTTTGTTGCCCCAAGAATCCACCTCTAAATCCGGCCCTGCGCGTCAATTGAATTCTGGCAATTTTTGTTTATTAATTTTTGATGAATTCTACTTTACTTTTTTTTATTATATATAATGCCCGGTTTTTTTTGCAAAAATGTTAAATAAATTGGTAATTTAGACTTTTGTAGAAATAATTTATTCTATGGATTCTGTTTTTTATGTTTACTCCTTGAAGACATACATATTACACATTTTTCCTCTTTATAATAAATATTAAGAAAGTTGTTTTAAACAGGCACCATGTACCACGGAATAATTATTGTAATCTATGGATAAACGTTAGATCAATTTTGTCACACACATATTTCAGTAATGAATAAAGTTTTTAATTATTATTATGTATGAAATCTAAAACTTACGTATTTTATTCCATTCGATATGCACCCGTGGCCGATGTGTGTTGAATGCAAAGCCAGCTTCTTCAGCGAGTTTGGGAAAGTTATGGTGCAAAGCAAAAGAGGCTTTGCAGGCCATTATTATTCGTAAAATCTATTTACGCTTATAATATATCATTATTTCTTAAAAATTACATTTTCGCTTTAATAATTCCGTAGATCAGGAATTGTTTGTTTATTAGATCGGTTGCTAGGCAACGCTTATCACATGGCGACATTTGATTTCATTGACGGCTGCAAAATAATGTTTTGTCCTTATTACTCATGTACTATAAACAAAAGACAAAACATTACTTGAATTTTTGAGGGCGAAACTAATACCAAAGTTTGTATTACGTATTTATTTATAAAACTTTGCCAACGCTCGGCACACTGATACATTGGTACAAGAAAAATAAAATATTTAATGTGACAGAACAATTAAAATATAGAAACTAAACGAAAATCGATTTCAAAGAAACTATGAATGAATATCCAGACCTAGCTCGTTTGTCAGAATGCTCTGGACAACAGTGAGTTTTGGCCAAATTCAGTTTCAGATTCAGATAGCACCGCGTTCGGTTTCAGAACCGAAGAAGTTTTGAAAGCTGAACTTGCGAGGCCAAGAAAAGTATGGGATCGAAAATGGATAGTTTATAAAAACTTATTATGAATTAATAAGTTTTTATGGAGGAAAAAAATGAAAAATTATTGTTAAAATGTTTTATCTAATACCTAGGTTCCGGAAAAGCAAATAATGTTTATGGGTTGCAAAATGTTATTGTATAGTGTAGAGTGACTAATAATTATTGCGTTTGGTTGATTATTCTGTCTTGAAATTCTAATAAGAATAGTGTTACAGAACGCGAATGTTAAATTTTGCTCGCCAAACAGTTCTTAAAAGACAACAGCGATATTATAGATCATGTCAAAAGTATAATAAATTTTTGTACATGTGTCTCGCCATTTTGTATATTATGTGATTGTTTTATATAAATATTTAGAAATAGATATTAATTCACCAAAATGTATATATGTAGTGTTATATTTTTTGAAACATAGATTTGCAATTGTTATAATTGATATATTATGCGTTAGACCTTTAATAAATTTGTTTTTTAATTCTTGTTGATGTTCTGTTGTATATTTTTAATATTGGTGTGTTTATTCCGTTATTAAATACTAATTATAAATAGGGTAAGTAAAACAACTGAATAATGTGGTCATGAACCACGTTGCATGTAAATAATTTATTAGTCCAAGTTACAAAGCGTTTTTCATCGAAAGTTCATCACATTTTAGATTCTAATAGGAGCAGTCTCGCGCTAAAGGGGCGGCCTGGCGACACTTTTTAAGTCGGATAACATTTTTTTGTAATTTTTCAAATGTCGCCGACCAATTAAGCGAAGGAAACAAAAGTGGGCAACGTTTCACTTAAAACACAAAACGTGGACCCAAAATATGCAAGTTAGGAGGAGAAACAAAAAAACTACTTGAGGCAAATGAAATGATATCCTGAATATTTTGTCCAGTCCGCGTTCTGTGTTTAAGTCGAAAACTTTGTACAGCCGTATAAAAATAAAATCGTGTTGGCAAAGTCGTGTCGGTAGAATCGTGTCCGAGCCGTGGTCGTGCTGGGTTCGTAGATTTAAGCAGATGGTTTCTCCTCGGTGCAAGCGGTTGCGGCGGAGGCCACTGAGCCGGTCTCCTCAGCTGGTGATGGCTGGCAGGCCAGGGCTGGGAACCTCTGGTATAGAGCAGCGCGGTATTTCGGGTGGCTGAGAAGAATTTTTTTAAAATTTAGAATCCAAATAAATAAATCCCTGGTGCTACAAGCTTTTTAGGTCTGGGCTTCAGATTTCTGTATCTGTTGTATGATCATTTGTTATTCTAATAGGCAAGTAGGTGATCAGCCTTCTGGGCCTGACGCACGCCGTCGACGTTTTGGGTCTAAGGCAAGCCGGTTTCCTTACGATGTTTTCCTTCACCGTTCGAGCGAATGATACATGCAGCCGGGGATCGAACCTACGACCTCAGGGATGAGATTTGCATGCTGAATCCACTAGGTTAACAAAGCTCAGCTCCAAATATACAAATAGTACCGCGATATTTTTCTGATTAATGATGAATTAAGAAATCATAAATCATAGTTTATTTCAATATGACCAGAAAAGTCGTGGCTATTCTACTATCTTTATCTATGGTTTTGGTACATATTTTTTATTGTGTATATTTGATTTACCTGATGCCATATACAATTGGATTGTAAACGGCATTAGCTTTAGCAAAGACGGAGCCCCAGATGGTTGAGAGTGGGCTGATTGGTGAGGTCTCGAAAATTCCCGCGAAGTTGATTACCAGGTAAGGGGTCCATGCCATGAACCAAAGAGAGATTGTCATCAGTGCAACCTGTGTAGTGATAAAGATGGTTTACATTACCAAATTGTCTCAAGTTTTAAATTCTACGAGGAAACGACAGTGTGTATCGGCTGAAAAGAACGAAACTTGTCGCAGTCTGACAGTTTACGAATTACGGAGGGAATAAAAAAATATTGGATTTGCGTTCCCTAATTGCCAAATTTTCTCATAAAATCTGATAAAAGCCAAGAGGCTGATTGCAGATGGATTAAAAAAAATCTTTGCCTAGGTTTTTGAAATGCCGGCAACGCACTTGCGAGCAATGTGAGTGTCCATGGGCGGCTGTATCACTTAACATCAGATGAGCCTCCTGCCCGTTTGCCTCCCATTACATAAAAAAAGGTGAGATCTATGGAGTAATGTGGATTACCTTAGCCAATTTGCACTCAGCGCTCGTGTTAGCCTGTTCCGAAGATCTAAGAGAAGCAACGTTCATTTTCTTAGCCTGTTCCCTCATGGCCCTCTCGTGGGCTGCAACAGCCTGGAGTGCAAAACATCGTTGTAAATTCCAATCAAGATTTCATAACCGTCGCAGTTATGGTAACAAATATTACCTGTACAATAAACCAGTACGAGTAGACGATGAGGAAAAGTGGCAGGAAGTAGCAGGCGATCGCATAAAGAATGATGTAGCTACGGCTGAACCAATCCTTGCTAAGGTAGTCGGTTCCACAAGCGGTCATGTTGCCCTCAGGAACGTATCTATATACGATATAGAAATTACATTTCAAGTATTTTTTATACAGTGTAAACTCTTTATAACGAATTTTAAGGGACCGAGCATTTTTTTTCGTTATAGAGAGTTAAATTTGATTACCATCAATAGGTAAGTTATTCTAAACACATATATTCTGTTAACTTTGCCTGACGTGTTTTGCTATGACAGGCAATGTAATCTCAGAGTAATGGCACACGTGTTAATGCAATTAACAATAACAAAGGCGAGACGGCTGTCAACTCAAAAGGTTAGTTTTGTAAGCTGATTATAAAAACAATTGCACTTAAGTATGTTGTTGATGTCTAAATATGAAAATATTTCTTCGTAATAGAGAGTGGCTGTGGCGTTATATAGAGAGAAGTAATGTATGGGTTTTGTGTTAAACCAAACAAATTTATCTCATTTTTACGTTATAAAGAGTTGAATCGAAAATAAAACTCACCGGCTCCAGCCAAAGATGGGCGCAAGAGTCCATGCAAGAGAGAATAGCCATACACCAAGGATCCTCAGTAAAGCGCTGTTAATGGTCATCGGTTTTGCAGCAATACCCTTTACGATCACATTGTAACGGTCGAAGGCAATAGCTGTCATAGTCCAGATTGAGACGCATCCAAATAGTGACCCGAAGCAGGCATAGAATTGGCATGCAGTCGGACCTGGATGAAAATGTTGGTTAAATAAACGTCACTAATAGACAATTTAGACGGACAATAGAGAATTGTCTTACCAAATACCCATGTTTCATTGTAACTGTTGACCACCAGAGGTGGAGCCATCATTGCCATCATCAAGAAGTCGGAGAAAGCCAAATTAACAACTAGCAGGTTTGATGGCGTCTTGAGTGACTGGAAACCAAAATCAATCGTCAAAATTTGTTTATGGACAAAGATGAGATTTTGTGATATTTGTCTTACCTTTGTAGTCGAGAAAATGTACACCACCATACCATTGCCAGTTATGGAGATGAAAGCCAAGACACTAATGGTGAATCCGAGAAGAGCGTGCCATAGTGGGTTCAATGGTGGAAACTGGTACCTGAAGGATAAAGATTTTGAGAGGAAATTCTTAGAAGAATCAATTTCAATTCAAGTACAATTACCAGTGTGGGTCAATCAGGTGCATCATTTCAGGCAGAACCTTGTCGATGACGGTCTGGTTGGAGCCAAATGCCTCAGCGTGGATACCGAAGGACTGCATGGCTGCTACGCCTGGTGCTGGGTCCAGGTTGGTGATTGCCATTTTTACGATCTAAATTTCCTAAGCTAAAAACTGAAAATAAAATATCTCTTAGTATGCGATCCGACAAGATTTACTGAGGGTTGTAAAGCAATTTGCTGGAGGAACAATGGAGGCTACCACTTTGACTCACTAAATGGAGGTTCACCCCGAGTTGGTATTACCAAAAATACTGAAGAAAATCGCTGCACGAACTACTCCAGTCTTTAGTTTAACCAATCTCCGGCGGGTGCTCAGGTTGTGTTGCGGAGACTACTCGATGTTTGCAAGACCGTCTTCAGCTTTTATAAGAAAACAAAGAGGATTAACCACGGTGTCACGAGGAAAATCAATATTCATAATTAGATATAAGTTAAGTCCAAGACGTTGAATACATTATCTACTTATTCTTGATACAGGACCGAACTTTCTTCGTAGCATATTTTAAATATAACACTAAAAAAATCTATATAGAACCAACACAGTAAGAATAATAATAATAATTCAGATAGTTTTACATTTAAATACGCGTCTATTTCAATCTTCTTCTGGTATCTGTGTGCCCTTTTTTCGAAAAGGCCTCCTCTAAATCCCGCCATTCCTCTCTGCACTGTACCACTCTCAAGTGGTCTTCCTCTTTTTCGTTTGCTGTACCTTGGGCTCCAGTTTAGTAGTTTTTTTGCTCCACTTTTCTGTTCTTCTTGCCATGTGCCCCACCCATTTCCACTTTAGTTTATTTATTTTAATGTAACATCTTTTTCTTAAAGCTGTATTCTTTTTTTGTCTATTCTTTTCTTCCCTATCATACATCATTCCATCGATGGGCGTCCAAATTTGAGATCCATATGTAAGTACATGTATACCGTGCCGGGCCGTGGGGTTCAAGTGTACAGGCACTAATTAAAGATTTAAGTTGGCGCCTGGTAGAAAGTACCAGTAATAAATAAGTATCACAATACAGCGAGGAAATGCTGCCAGCGTTAAAGGTACACTGCCACAGGGACTAAACTTTTTAAATTTGTTGTAATTTTCTTTTTATTAATTTTTAATTATTTTAATTATTAAAATTGTAAATACTGTTATGTTTGGGTTTTAATAAACTATAGAATTATTATTATATATTATATAGTAGGTAAGTACCAGTCTTTTTACCTTACCAGTATTAAATATAATTGATAACGCGAGACCGTCTTCATGAGCTATCCTTGAAACCGCCCTTGGCTCAAAGTTAAACGCATTGCGTCCAAAAAAAGCGTGTCCAAAAATTTAATTATATAATAATAATAATTTAATTTCAATTTCGCAATTCATGAATCCGTAAATTAGCTCTTTAGTTTTTAGTTTATTTTATTATTATTATGTATTATTTCAGATTAAGTCGACGGTCGACGATTCTATTTTTTTTTCTTGCACTTTACCCATCATATGTCTTTTTTTAGTTTTTTCCTTACTAGGGTTGCCTGGAAGAAATCGCTTGTTAGCGATAAGGCCGCCCGTTGTTTCCCCCTCTCATTTTTATGTATGATGTTTTTTGTTTTTCTGTAACTGTAACGAAGTGTAAACAAATAATTAATAAAATAAACACTTAGGTATAGACAAAGAAATGAACAATATTGTTCGCATTGAGAATCTGTATATTAATACGGCCCTGTATTTCTTGAAGCACCCTTGTATAAACACTTATAAGTAGTTATGTAGGTAAAGAAAAATATTCCTGTTAACTGGATTATTGTAACCAGAGAATTTCAGTATGTAACACTAGCTCGCATCTTTCATAGGCATTCGTCATACAAAGCAAATGCTTTTTTTTTTCAAAAAGTGCGTGCGTACAAAGTACAGAATATGTCAGAAGTGAAAGTGCTTTGGCAAACAAATTTTTAACTCTTGTTCATATTTATACAAATCTAAAACTACATTTCCGAGACTAGAGGGAGGGAAAAAGGAAGATATGTTAGGAGTTTAATGAATTTATATTAAGGAAATAACTGTCATTAAAATATTAAAAGTGCCGAAAATTCATACAAATATTAAATTTAATTTTTTAAATTTATTTCTTCATTTTCACATTGCACATTTTCGTGACGTTCCGTAAAAATTTTACGGATCGTGGCCTAAAGAAGTTTCACTTCAATATATATGAAGATAAAAGGATAAATTAGGGACGGCGAACGAATAAATTACACGCCGATTGCCAACAAAAAACTGTCCCACTAAGTATTTGAGCAATTTAATTTTAAGTCCAGTACAAGTACCAGTCTTTGTCGTATTTAATAAGTATTTTTCGAAGACTATTGATTTTGAAACCTAATCACGACACGCGCCATTTCTAACTTCGTTCTACATTTATGGCACTCTAGTTCTAGTTACCTTATTTTTGTACTGCACGGTTCCCGGGTCAACGGTTTGCTTAAATAATTAAGGGTATAATTTTTTCGCTATTACTGTTTATTAACCACTGGCGTATAGTAAAATAATAATGCTTTTTAATTAAATGTTATGAAATGAGTATCTAATATAATGCTTAAGACAGTGCCAGGGTCTGGCTACTCTGGGGCGTAATAACGACGATTTAGGTAATGGCTGCGCTTAAAAAAGTAAGAAAGCCTAAGTGAGCAAAATGTAGACATGGCATGTACATAAATATTTTTGCTTAAAAAAGTACAACGAAATAGGTCGACGAGAGTAGTGGTAGGGCCAGTGGCTTCACTGCGATGATTTCATATCCCTGAGGTCTTATTTTCGAGCTCTTTCTGTATACCACTGGACTATATGCGTCGAACATCCGCTCAGTGAAGGAAATATCGTGAGAAAATTAATGCTTTAGAGCCAAAAATGTCGTGACCGTCAGGTTGGCTGATCAAATTTGATATCGCAATCAAACTATACACCATATTTCTGTACCTATTTGATACTATTTGCTACCTTCAAAGACGCATTTGCATCTGCATTAAAGAACATAATAAAGAAATAAAGTGGCCAAAAACGCCTATGAAAAAGGTTAGGCAAGAGTTCGGCACGTATAACTTATCACAACATTGCAGGCGCTTAGTGTTTTTCCAAAGAAGATGCTTTACTTAGAGGGTAGTTTGTCACAACTGTGATTAAGTGTGCTCAAACAATATATGGTCTTGGGTTTTGGGGTAATGACGAAATTGTTAGTTCACCTCACTGGATATTATTTAGGCTTGTTAGAATTAATAGCCCATAGCTGAACATATCAACATATATTTCCTTTATTAACAATCATGCAAATTAAGGCTTTTACCTATCGATGGGGTCGTCTTAGACACGAGATGTTCAGCCCGAGTCGATGCTACGAAGGCACTTATATGCGGTTTTATCAATATTAAACGAGTTATAGAAGACATTTTCAATAAAGTTGATTAAATAGCGGAGTGCCGTAATAAAGCTTACGGACTAGATTCAATGATGAATAAGTTACAAACAGGAATAATGATAATTATGTGGAACGGAATCCTAGCAGCAGTCGTCTGATCAAAACCTTAATACAGGATATGCCCTTTATGAATCATTAAAGTCCAAGTAATGCGATCCACATTTTCAGATATTGAAGCAAGAGCCAAGGATCCGACCAACTGTGTAGATTACCAGCAACATACATCAAGATGGATCAAGCGAAATACAAAGTAGGGGAGACCAGGTACAAAAGTAACGGCGGGTCGAAAGTAACAAATGCTCTCTAGATTCATCCAATGGGCGAAAACAGCTTCGCCGCCGTCAGGCGATAGCTGAGAGTGCCCCCCTCACTTGTAGTTAGTCGCCGCGTACTCCACGCACTGTTAGGTTGTGTGAGAGGATACTACGTGTTTTTACAAACCAAAACTAAGTTATTCGATATTTTGTTATTTAATGTTTACATAGTCGTAAAAGGATGGTAGTAATCTGAATGTTTGCATATCTATTTTTGATAAGATTGATTGTACATTGTTTAAATTTGTTTTTGTTTAGCACGTTCCGTTTTTAAGTTATATTTCATGTTTCAACATAAATGAGGAAGGGTACAAAAGTAACATAGTCCTATGGGTACACAAGTAACAAAGAAACCTAGCAAGATTGTTGCTCAAAAAGGAACTAAACAAGTAGGTGCAGTAACCTCAGAACGTGGAAGATTAGGAACCTCCATTTTCGTATTCCCATTTAAACAATTCCAAGACTACATGATTCTTGAGGTACCTGTTGGTTGTGCCGGAGCTGGCAATGCTAGTGGATGAATGCAGAATGCAGAACTTTTACTTTTTAAATAAATAATTGTTGATTAAACATATAATATTGTATTAATTACCAACCTCTTCGTCTTGTTACTTTCGACCTGCCTACGTGGTCGAAAGTAACAACTGATGATTTTTTTTTACCTCTCTGTTATTCATATAAAACACACCATAGTAAAAAAAATCGAGCTGCTAGTGTAAAGAACATAAACTGAATTTATATATGGTTATATTAATTTAATGACAATATTAAAACCTGGCCACAAATCAAGTGTGAAGTACAAAGTGTTACTTTTGTACCCGGTCTCCCCTACGACCATTTTAGCGGCTCTACTACACTAGACCACTTTGTTTAAAATAAAAACCTGGACAACGTTTCGAAGTTTAGATGTTTAATGTTATTATTGATATCGCCCTGTCTTCTTTAACTAAACGTATGAAAGTATAATATCATAAGATTTTGTTTTTGAAGTATTTCGACAGCTAAAATCTTAACAGAGAGAGAACTCTTATAAACTGTTATTAAATGATTCCTTAGAATCGTGTTTCCCAAACTTAGATATTGTTTACGTCTCTCATGATCACTAATTGCAGTGGCGAACGTTTTTTTTTCAATATTAAATGGTATTAAACATGAATTAAGGAACATTATGTCTTAATTATCTCACTTTGTTCAATATAGATCATGATTTGCTTAAAGAAGCCGATATGGATAGGGTTATCTTTAAATTTGCCCATATTAAACAAAGAAAAGTTTATTTGAAACTGTAGGTATTGTTTTATTTAATACCCTTA